CCTCGGGGGCGGGACAGGCTAAGGGGGGAATGCGTCGACCCCTAATCTCCCACTCATCCCCGATACGGGTCTGATAGCCCTTCCTGCCCACCGACGTGTTGTGTCGCCATAGTGGGGTGCCCAGCGCCGATCGATGGGTTATGTATCGCTGATTCGAGCTCGATGTTTCCCACCACTAGGCTGGCATTCCCCTATGGTTGGCCTCTTTGCTTCGCCTCGACGCTCGTCCTGTTAGGTGTACTAGAGTGGGGTGGGGAATATCCAGCTGCCTGGGGCAAGTCTCGCCACCGTGCCAGCCCAGCATTCTGGGTGCCGACTGTTCGAAGGGACACGGGAGGCCGTCACGTGCGACACCTCGTGTCCCCAGGCCTGGGGGAGCCGTGATGATGAGGATCATTGTGGTGGTGATGATGGTGAGGAGGAGGTGGAGGAGGAATAGCAAGATGAAATTGAGGATCAGGATGATGAGGCTGATGAGGATGATGTTAAGGAGGAGGAGGACTTGAAGGGGGAGGAGGAGGAGGCGGAGGCGGAGGAGGAGGAGGAGTGGGCCATCCTGTGGCTGCCTTGGCCTCCTAGGAGGCAGCCTTGGGGGTCCCTGGGAGGGCCCTCTTGATCCGTTTTTGGGGGCTGTCTTGGGCCCATCTTGGGGGTAGTCTTGGGGCACTCTTGACCAGTCTGGGGCGCCTCTTGTGCCGTCTTGGTGCCCTCTTGGGGGGCTCGTCGGCCATCCTGGAAATGTGTTGGGGACCTCTTGCGCCGTCCTGGGACGTTGGATGCTCGAACAGACGAGAACCCTCTCGAAGCCCCCCCCCTTGGGAAGACTCTTGGTGCTCTCGTGGGACGTCTCGAAGGCCTTATGGGCCGTCATGAGGCCATCTTTGGCCGTCTTGAGGTCACAGTGGGCCGTCTTGGGCCGTCTTGGAGGCATCTTGGCTTTGCGAGCGCGCATTTGCCGTATTTTACGACGTATTGTAGCCTCTGGAGCGCGATGCTTGCTTATTGTGCGAGGGTTTCTGGCCTCCGCAGTGCGGCTGCTGCATGCAACCCAGTGCTGGTAGAGGGGGGGGCGGGGGTCCTAGAAGAGTACATAATCCCCACCAGGCAGCATTTGCATTCTAGCGCGCCCCAGCGTGCCAAGGGGCTCTGTAACGGATGCTTCCGCAGGCGTGAATTGTGGAAATGTTTTTTTTTTGTGTGTTTTTGATTGTTTTGAATATCTATATATATATATATATACTGAGAGAGAGAGAGAGAGAGAGAGAGACATAAAGAAGAAAACACAAACAAACATAACAAGTATATCAGAGTGAGTGTAACCGGCATTTGAGTATGTATTTGAGGTGCGTTTCCAATGCAAGACATCGGCGACCAGCGTACCAAACGTGTGCAATGTTGAGTACCTTAATACCTTAATCGCTGATAGCGTCATCGGACTTGATCTGATCGAGTCCAGTTCAGTACATTGGACCTCGTGGCTCGGGCGTAGCTCGAGCACGGCACCTCATCACTGCACATGCCTGGCCTGTTGGGACATTAGCGACGAGCTTAGAACGCTCTCTTTTCTCAGCGGCCAAAGCAAGCCATGGTGCAAGGTCAGTGGCCCTCAGCAAATCGCGACATCCGGTTTTACATCTGTTCGGCCTCCAGAGGCCGCCTCACCCACCCCGGAATCGTGAAAAGTTGTCCAGGGTGACTAATGTTCGGCGGTCTGGGGCTTTCGGGGCAGAGTTCGAGCTCCCCGGTCGTCCGTCTCCTTGCGCGGCAGACCTGCTTCTTGGCCGCTCATCTGAAGAGGTGATGCTCATCAGATCGGAGCCTCTGCGTACATACACTCTTCTGGACGTCAATGAGGGTAGCGGCATCTTCGTGGCTACTGGCGGAGTGTATCTCCGACGTTGCAAGAATGCATTCGAGGCCGAGGTCGTCGCTTCGGACACGGGCATCAACGACCTTATGAGCGCCTTTTTCTCCCTTCTCTCCTCCGCCGGTCATCTCCTCGCGCTCCCTCCCAGCCCCTCCGTTTGTCTTAGCACCCAGCGTTGTCGATCCATCTCTGGAGGAGCATAGCACAGGCAGTCCATGGACTGGAGCCGAAGTCTGAAATACAAGAGGAAAGGTGATCAGATGCCTCCCCCTTTGCAGGAGGAGACCCTACCGACCGTGGCAGACCGACTGTTGGGCGCGCACTCATTCTGTCAGCACTTCGGTCGACGGCTCTTACTGTAGCGAGAAGAGGACGACGAGCCTTGAGGAATTTGGCTGTGGAGCGAGGAGGGGAGGGAGTCGGACAAGGAAGATAAGGATGGAAGAGCCCGCTCCTTTATTGCTTGGAGCATGACGGGCGTCATGGCCCCCCGGCCCCCCCCCATGACATAACGCTCCCCCGCCAGTGCGTTCCAGGCACTACCGCCGTGCGCATCGTGATCCGCATAGGTAACCGCATAAGAATCCTCATAGGAGTCTGGTCCGCAGTCGTCGTCGTCGTCGCCGTCGTCGTCGTCGTCGTCGTTTTCGCTCGTCGCTCTTCGCTCGTCGCTCATCGTCGTCGTGCGCGCGGACGCAGCTTGAGCCTGTTTTTCTATTCCGGGCCGATGACGGCAATCATTTGGGGGGGAGGGGACCGATGACGACAAGTTTCGCGCCGGCGGCGTCTGGGAATGCCTAGGAATCATCACCGAGGACGGGTAGCAGCAGCATGTCGTTGGCGATCTGCCTCATAACGCCTGTGTACACCATAGTGCCTGCGTGCACCACAGCGCCTGCGCCTGTGTATACCACACCGCCGATGTAAACCACAGCAGCGGCGTGCATCACAGCGCCAGTATGTGCCACAGTGCCTGCTGGCACCACAGCGCTTGTGTACACCACAGCGCCCGCGTACACCACATCAGCCGTTTGCAACACAGCACCAGTGTACACAACAATGCTTGCGTGCATTCAGCGCGGCACCAGTGAATAGACCGTTCTTCGGTGCACGCTGAGACGCGCACGTGCGCTGTAGTGCCGACCCGCACGACCGGGGGGAAGGGTGAGGGAGCAGGAGAAGGAGGAGGAGGAGGAGGAGGAGGAGGAGGGGGAGGAGGAGGGAGGAGGAAAACGCGTCGCATTCTATTATCAGCACTTCCCTGGCGTGCCGCTTAGCTGTCCGCATCAGATCCTCACCGACATGCTCCTTCCACCTGCCCTTTGCACGCAGGAACTCTGGTGTACACCAGCGCTGCGTTGCACGCGGATGTTGTGCTGTAGACAGGCGCTGTGGTTTGCACAGGCGTTGCGATGCACGTAAGTAAGCATTGTGGTGTAGACAGGCGCTGTGTTGCACATGGCTGCTGTGGTGTACACATTCGGTGTGGTGTACACCGGCGCTGTGGTGCACGCAAGCACAGTGGTGTAAGGCAGAACGCCACCTACATGCTGCTCGCGTCGTCGTCGTCGTCGCTCGTTGATCGTCGTTTGTCGCTCGTTGCTCATCGTCGTCGTGCGCGCGGGCGCGGCTGTGGTGCTGGAGCCGCACCGCGGGGGGGGCGGCGTTACGTCATACCCCCCCCCGCCCCCCCCCCCCTCTGCTCGAAAGCGGACGAACCACGGCGGAGAGTGGGTGTGACGAGCGGCTGGAGGAGGAGGAGTATGATGGCGAGGAGCCTGTGCAGCAACAGCAGGAGGAGTCGGAGAAGAGCGGAGAGCGAACGGCGAAAAGAGGGAGGAGTGGGTGGAGTCAGAGGAGCAACGGAGGAAGGATGTCGAGGTAGGATCGGAGGAATGGGGGCTGGTGATCGGGCATCAGACAGCTTGGAAAAATGACGGTGGCGGGTTTTCTGTGCCGTTTGGTTCTTCTGGGACCAGTTTCGGGCCCAGGGTTGTCAAACACGCATTGACGCACTAGCAATTCGGAAGGGTCCGAGAGGTCTGGGAGACCATGTTTCAAACAAAGCTGCCGAATGTTGGCGTATTGCACTTGATGATGCATTCAGATTTACATTTCGGAGGTTAACGCAGTGGTTGCACGAAAAAAGCATTCAGGCTGTCTGGTGGAAGCGGATAGGATCAGCAAGTGTGCGGCGGGCCAGAGAGAGAGTGAGAGAGAGAGATACGGGAATGGGGAGTTGAGTGTCAGGCAAGTGCTGGCAGAAGATCCCAGATTAGCGTTGACGAATGAGGACCGCTAAGCCACCCCGCCGCCTGCATGACATCATGCCGATCGCGTTTCTGGAGTCGTTGTGCACGCGCACGTGACCACACGTAATTACAAGGTCTCCGCTGACGAATGAGGACCGCTAAGCCACCCTGCCGCCCGCATGACATCATGCCGATCGCTTTTCTGGAGTCGTTGTGCACGCGCACGTGACCACACGTAATTACAAGATCTCCGCTCCGCTACGAGGTGTAATCTACGAGGTATACGTCGTACGGTGCGACGCCGTACCGTGCAAGTTGTGTGAGCAATGGTGTGCAAGCTATGTGGTGAAGCCACGTGGCGAACACAGTGTTGCGCGAGAGGCGCACAGGAGGCTCCCGCTGGTGGGCACCACGGAAGACCTCGGTGCGCACAGCGCACCACGCGGTGCCCACGAGGCGCCAACGAGGTGCCCACGGGCACCCACCGCGAGGCGCCCACAGGGCGGGCACTGCGCGCAGCTTCGGCACCCACCCAGCGCACGATGCCCCCGCGAGGGCACCCCCGGGGTGGGCAGCTGGCGAAACCTCGGCACGCCCGGGTATCGCCCCCCTCTCGGCGCACGAGGCGCCCTTTTGGCGGGCACCCGGCGGCTTTGCGGCGCGCGCGCGCGCACGGCGCTCGGGGCGCGCAGGGGGCACCCCCTGCAGTGCACGCGGGGGCCCACGGGCGGGCACCGGGCGCGACCGCGGCACGCGTCCACGCAGCGTTCGAGGCGCCCACGAGCCGTTCGCAGGCGGGTGTGCCAGGGCGAATCCTCGGCACGCCCACCCTCATGGCTCGAGGCTCCGAGGAGGCGCCCCAGGGCGGGCACCAGGCGCAACCTCGGCACGCCCACCTTGCGCGCGAGGCGCCCACGAGGCGCCCACGGGCGGGCACCAGGCGCAACCTCGGCACACCCAGCCAGCCAACACGAGGCTCACGGGCAGCCGATCCCCCAACCATTTGCCGTAAGCAAGCCAAACACATTATTCCCGAGAGCAAGCGCTACCTGGGGAGCATATGCCAAGGCGCTGAGATTATTCCTCATCTTACAGTCACATACGAGAGCACACATCAAACACACATGCACGTCAAGAGCGTGTCCAGCTTTGCGCCCTCGCCCTCCATTAATGACGACAGAGCCGATCTCGTTCGGCGCGACCGCCAGGTCCCGACAGCGCCCGATTGTCTGGAGTGTCCCAGTTGGCGTCCGATGTATATATATATATATATATACACATATATCTATGTGTGTGCATAGATATATATATATATATGTGTATATATACGTATGTGTGTATGGTCGCCTCCCACCCCAGCACCCCCCAAACCGAAAAGAAGTATCAGACAGATGATGAATCTGATGCCCCTCCCCCCCCAGGCTGTCGTTGGGGGTGCTTGGGGGGTGGGGGGGCGAGCTATATATATATATATATATAAATAAATAAATAAAAATGCATATGTGCATGAATAAAACAGATATCAGCAGAACCGATAATAAGCCCACATGACAGGCACGTATTCTAACTAACCATACGCGCCCTCTACACATAAGAGGCAACAAGTGCAGACCCACGTGATCCGTTCGCATTGGCAACAGGCCAATCGACATTACATAGTGAATGCCAAGAACAGACGCTTCAATATGGGAGAGCAAATGGATATATCAGATCCGCATCAGTTTCGTAGGCATTTTGGGAGCATGGTCGAACCAACGATACACATGAGTTTTCACACTTCTTGACCACACTTACCAAATGGCGGCCCGACCCACGGGACAGCGTCCGCGATACATAACATACACAACAAGCACGAAGCACACGCACCACCAGAGTTCATGAATAGGAACACAACATCGACAACTATACTGGAGTAGCGTGTGCACGTACAGCACGCGCGCCTTGCATACCATATTGAGTTTCTTCTGTTCGAGCAGACGTGTTCAGCATGTATGGCGAACTATTCCGAACGTACGTAGAGGCCAGTCTTCAAGACCATGTATACAAACGATCAACCATCAGGAAACAGCATGTGCACCGAGCAGTCGCAATACCATTGACGTAGACCGTAAGTCAACCACGCGCGTACCCACTAATCTCATCGCCATGCCTGTGAGTATATATGTACATCGACATACAGTTGCTGCTGTCTACTGCAAGTCCCGCCACCGTGCCTGGGTTGTGGGCTATAAGCCTAGTGCATGTTCAATGGAATCTCGTGGGAGGCCTCTCGGGGGCATCTTGGAGGCGGTTTCGAGGCCTCTTGGGGGCCATATTGTCACTTCTTGGGGGCCTCCTGTGGGCCTCTAGGGGTTTCTGGGAGGCCTTTCGTGGGCCTTTGGGGCCTGTTGGGCACCTCTTGGGGCCTCCTGAAGGCCCCTTGGGGCGGAAGGTATGGATTTTCGGTTCGTGTTCCATCTCTGGGGCGCCCTCTTAGGCCGTCTTTGGGTCTTCTTGGAGGCCTTTTGGCCCACTTTGGGGTGGTCTTGACGTCGAAAAGGCGAAAAGGCGAGAACGCCCAAATTGTCCAAAACCAATAGAACTTCAATAATTTTTGCTTTCGGGGCTCTCGCGGGAGACCTTTTGGAGGCCTCTTGGGGCGCCTTGAAAGCCCTTTGTGCGCCATCTTGAGGCCATCTGGGGCGTCTTCGAGCGATCGTTCGGCGACTCGAGGCCTCCTGGGCCGTCGTGGCAGCCTTGGAGAGCCCCAGGGAGGGGCCACGGCCGCACAGGGACCCCCCATGAGTATGGCCGGTGCGCGCAGCGAGGTGCTGCCTGGAGGAGGGGGGTCCGTTAGCCAGGCTTACGCATAGGTTACGCAGAGGTCTTTGGTAGGCCTCTGGTGGGCCTTTCAGGAGGCCAGTGCTTCGGGATAGGCGTATGCACAGCCTGCGCATAGACTTACCGTAGGCCTATGCATAGGCTTCCACAGGCTTCTGGTGGGCCTATGCATTCGCCGGCGCCCTGCGACAGGCCTATGTACGGACTGCGCATATGCCTACCACAGGCCTCAGCATAAGTTTCTCACAGGGTTTTGTAGACCTCCGGTGGTTTTGTGGAGAGGCTGGGGCCTGCTACCTATACACAGCCTGCGCATGACCTACCATAGGTCTGTGTATAGGCTATGCCACCGGCCTGTGGAAGCTCTCGAATGCCAATGGAGCACCAGGCGCTGCGCAAGAGGACTAAGCACAGCCTGCGCATAGGCCTACCACAGTGCATAGGCTGTGAGGCTGTGCACAAGCCTGTGGTCGGCTTGTGGAGGGCCTATACGGGGGCCGGCGCCCCGCGATAGGCTCATGCACAGCTTGCGCATAGATCTACCATAAGCGTGGGCGAAGGCAAGGCACAAACCTGTTGTAGGCTGGTGGGCCGATCGGCCTGCACATAGGCCTGTGCACATGGAACCTGTCGGTTCCCTGCGATCGGCCTGTGCACAGCCTGCACATAGGCCTTCCATAGGCCCGCGCAAAGGCTATGAACCGGCCTGTGGTAGGCTTCTGTTGGGCCTGTGGAGGGGCGGGACAGCCTTCGCACAGTACCATGTGCTTGCGGATAGTCCGCGCAGAAGCCTGTGGCAGGCCTCTGTTGGGCCCGCAGAGGGGACGGTGCCTCTGGACAGGCCTATGTACAGCCTGCGCATAGGCCTACCGTGGGCCTCTGCATCGGCGACGCACAGGCCCATGGTGGACCATTGGTGGACCTATGACGGGGCCAGCGCCCCTCGATAGGCCCATGCACAGCTTGCGCATTGACCGACCATGGCCTGCGCATAGGGCAAGCAGCGGCCCGTGTGAACCCTTTGGAGGGCCTGGCCGACCTGCAGCTTTACCATAGGCCTGCACATACAGGTGTCCGAAACACTTAAGCAACACTCACCCGTAACAGATGGTTGGAGTTTCCCCCCTCTCCACGTATGCAATGTTGGTTTCGAGTAGTCCGTATTTGAGCTTCCGAGAGTTAGCACGTCAGCGTGCCAAGTTTGAATTGCGAGGGATTTGGGACGTTGTTTTTGTTGCTTCCCTCAACCGCCGCTTGCGAACAGGTCTACCACGGGCCTGTTTATACGTTATGCGTAGCCCGACTACAGGACAGGCTATGCATAGGCCGCAATTTGGTCGTTGGTTCTACTCGCGCGCCCATTGTAAGCGAATTGAAGATGTAAGACATGCACATCGACTACAGATAGACCTGTCATGGGCCTGTGCATTGCTTACCCGTAGACTTACCTCTGCCTTCTGCGTAACCTAACCTACCGACTGCTTTGTTATGTTCCAACCGACCGGTTCCTTCCAGGGTTGTTTGGTTAATGCGCTGGACCTTGTTACAGCTTGTGCATAGGCCTATGCAAAGGGCATCTCAAACGGCAATGGTCTGAGAGTGGAGGCGTGTGGAGTCAGGACTGACTTCAGGGGTTCGCGGGCCGTACAAATTCCCCCATGCAAGGAGGTGTGCCGGAGCCGCAAAAACAAGCACGAGCGTGAGCAGCGGCAGGGGCAGTGGTAGCAAGATTGCTCGATAAACTATGCAGAGAGGGAGGGGGATGCTGCTAAGGAGCCGCGAACATGTCGCCATGGGAGGTCTGTGATGATTGATGGGCCTGTTTTCCACCACCGCCACCATAAGTTGGAGGGGGGAAGGAGGTGGTGGATGAGTAGGAGGAGGAGCCCCTCCCCCTCCTACTTATGGTGGTGGTGGTGGTGGAAAACAAGCCCACCAATGATTGCTGATTGCTGCCCTCTGTGGGCCCCCACCTGGGGCACCCACAGCACCGCCAGACGACGAGTCGGGGGAAGCGCCGGTCCCCTCGGGGGTCCAGGCTGTCAGGGGCCCACGCATCAAATGTAGAGACTTAGGTTGGGCGTGTCCCCCTACAGGCGGATTTTGGGTGAGAAAGAGAGAATAGTCAAAACATATCCCAAAAGCGCCAGACTTTTTTTTGTTACTGTTTTGGGGTATTCCTCCTGTAGAGGGACAGGCCCGACTTGAATGGAGACCCTTCAGAGCCTTGGGGAGGCGGGTCCCTCCCGTAGAGCCCGCGCGCAGGAGCTCGCAAGAAGAACCTACGAGAGGTGCGCCCGGCCGCCCCGGTGGCCCGCGTCTTCTGCTCCGCCTCCCTGCTGCCCTGCGCTGCAGCCTCGCTGCCCCGTCCCCCTCCCTCGCTCGACCTCCCTCCCTCCGGCGATCGCAAGCCTGGATCAAGGGGGCGTGGATTAGCGACGGATCCCGCTTCCATGGGAGATCGCGGATTCCCGCCGCCGAACCAGGCGGCACCGGCCGCATTCTGAGGAGGACACCTCCCCCGATCCATTGCCGAGTCGATTTCGCGCCAATCCATGGATCGCTAATTCATGTCTGCGCGCCCCCGACTCTCCAGGACCTTGAATTGCCCTATTCTTACTAGTGCTACTACTGCTACTATGACTATCGGAAGTACCATGCCCTCGTCCGCCACGTTGCCATCACTTACGCCGCCACGAAACGGGACCCCACCTGGTGGGACATGTGCTCGTGCCGGTGCGGCACGACCTAACGCACGTTTCGATTGGACCACGTTGCACGTTTCGATGTTGATTGATCCCAGGGTCGCGGTGCCAAGCTGCACAGAAAGAGTGAGAGGGAGAGAGAGGCAGAGCGAGAAGAGGGAGAGAGATGAGAGGCGAGATCTCACGCACAGTGCTGGGATCGGCGGTTGCGTGAGCAACGGGCAGTGGGGAGCGGTGAAGTGGCAGCACGGGCTGTGGGCTGAAGCCTCCAGGGCGCGCGCGCCGCTGGCACCCTCGTGCGGCCCGCGTGCACGGGGTGCACGCGGGGGCGTGCCCCCTCCTGGACGCCAGCGGCACGACACGACAGAAAGAGAGAGGAGGAGGAGAAGGAGGAGGAGGAGGAGGAGGAGGAGGAGCAGGAGGAGGAGGAGGAGCAGGAGGAGGAGGAGGAGGAGGAGGTTAGGCGCGATTGGAGCGCCTGTCGCCTTTTGGGCTTGCCCTGGTGGTCGCCCTCTGCGTGCCCTCGCACGGGCGGCTCTTCGTGGCCGCCCGCGCGCCGTCCCTCGAGGGGGCCGTGGCCCCGGGGGCCGCCCTCCTCCCGTCCCTCGCGGGAGCCCCGAGCAGATGGGGTCAGAGGATCGCGCCGCATCGCCGATGCATCGCCGATGCGGCTCGATGTGGAGCCCGATTAGCTTCACGTCGACGTCGCCGATGCGTCGCCCACGTCGACGATGCATCGCCAGTGGATCGCCTATGCATCACCGATGCATCGCCGATACATCGCCGATGTATCGGTGATGCGGCTCGATCCTGCGACCACATCTACTCCGACCCCATCCAGGAGGCCTCTAGCCTTTGGGCGGGGGTCGATGCGAACGGGGGTCAGCCAGAGCGCCGGATCTTGCAGGATCCTGCAGGGCCAGGGTCGCATTGACCCTGGTTTGGGCGCAGGATTCTGCAGGATCCTTCGCGTGGACCCGGGTTTGGGTGCAGGATCTTGCAGGATTCTGCAAGGCCTGATTGGCCCGGGTCTGGATTGACCCGGGTCAGAAGATCCGCGGTCCCTCGCGGGGGCCTTGGGACGGGGGTCGATGCAAACGGGGGTCCTCGGTGGCTGCGTGCAAACCCTGCCCCCGCCCCCCCCGATCTCTAAAGGGGGGCTTTGGGGCCACATCGTTCGGGAGCTCCCGAGCGGAGTGACCCCCCCCCACCCCCCTTAGAAATCGCTGGGGTTGGGGGGGTCAGGGTTCACATGTGGCCACCTAGGCCAGCCAGCCAGCCAGGGTGCATTGCGCCGGGGTTGCGCGCAGGATCCTGCAGAATTCTGCAAGATCTTGCAGGCTCCTGCAAAGCCTGACTTACCCGGGGTTCATTGACCCTGGTCAGTGCCCCTCCTTTCCCCTCTCTCCCTCCCTCCCTTCTCCCTCCCTCCTCTGTCCCTCATTCCCCCTCTCCCTCTCTCCTCTCTCCCTCATTCCCTCTCTCCCTCATACCGTCTCCTTCCCCCTCTCTCCCTCTCATCTCCCTCCCACCTCTCTCCTGGTCCTCGCCTGCAGCGCGACTGTTGTCATGTGTTCGTGCCTTGCTCTCCCGCTCCTGTCCCTCTTCTGTCCCTGCTCTTCCTCTCCTCCCCCTCCCTCCCCTCCCACTCCTGTCCCTCTCCCTCCCCCTGTCCCTCCTTTCCTATTCCTCTCCCTCCCCCTCTACATCCTCTCCCTCTCCCTCCTTCGTTTCTCCCTCTTCTCTCCCTCGTCTCCGACTCCTTCCCCCCTGCCTCCTCGCCCCAGCCCCCTTCTCCCTTCACGTTCCCTTCCTCCCTACCTCCCTCGCTCCCTCCGCCATCCCTCCGCTGACAGTGTTTAGAGCGAAGTAGTGAGGGCGGCGAAGAGGGAAAGAGAGAGAGAGAGAGATGAGATACATATATATATATATATATATATATATATATATACATATATATATATACACATATACATATCTGTTGAAAGGGAGAGGGAGGGAGAGAGAGAGAGAGACTGGGGAGAAAGAGAGAGAGAGGGATACTGATATGTTTATATATGTGTATAGATCCAGGGAGGGAGACAGAGAGAGAGAGAGAGAGAGATGGGGAAATAGAGAGAAGAGAGAGAGGGGCCATCACATACGACCCTCCATCCTCCATCCTCCCTCCCCCGCTGCTGGTGGCGCGCAGACCAGTCGCGTGTGTCCTGCAGCGCGCGGGTCGCGACCGTGTCTACGCTATACAGCCGATCCCGACTGCGAGGGTGCGGTCTGTTGGCACGGCCCTTGCCCTAAGTCAGGCCTGTCCCTCTACAGGGGGAAAGTTCAAAAATAGCCTAACAAAAGTCTGGGGACGATTTGTTTTGAGTGTATATTGTTTGGCTATGTTGCATTGTTGTTTTGGGGTGTTCTGTGATTCTTCGCCCAAGATCCGCCTGCAGGGAAACAGGTCCGACCTAACCCTTGCCCTCGCATCCCTGCCTCTCCTGCCGAGCCTCGGCCTCGGGTCCTGGAGGCCGCCGTCGCAGTCCCGCCGCTAGCCGTTGCCGTGCAGATTTCCCCAAGGTTCATCTGTACATAGCCGCCCTGCCAAAAAGCTCGGTGCTCGTGTTGTCTGTAGCCGCGGATCCCTTGCGAAGTTCCTGCAACACTTTGGGAAGCCATGAGCAGCTTCGGTTGCAGATCCACAGCGGGTCGAGGAGGGGTGGGAGGAGGCGGAGGAGGAGGAGGCGGACGAGGAAGAGGAGGAGGAGGAGGAGGACGAGGCGGAGGAGGAGGAGGCGGAGGAGGAGGAAGGTAGCGTGGCCTGGGCCGAGGACGGGGACGAGGAGTGCGAGAACAGTGGGAAGGTTGACGAGGGGGGGGGAGGAGGAGGAGGAGGAGGAGGACGAGCAGGGGAAGGATCAGGGGAGGTGGAGGAGGAGCGTTCTTCTTCGGCCACCCGTCCGTTTCTACAATTGTGGAACGCGTAGTTTACGCACGAGCCGCGACTCCAGCGATGGCAACGAATTGCGCCCTCTGAGGTTCTTATGCTGGGATTCAGGGGGGACCTGGCGCAGGCCATGATTTTAGACTTCGTATGGTCGAGCTCTCAGATACAGTGGTCTGGGAGACCCGATCGAGCAAGCCAATCATTCTGGCCGCCTCACTGTGACGAGACGCGCTGTTGTTCCATGTTACTCGTCGTGTTGGGCTTCTGATGCCTGCGCGTCCGCTCTGCTCAACCGCGCGCCCGGCCCGACTGGTATTCGATTCAGCCAGCTTTTGACCAGTGCTCCCCCCCTCCCTCCTCGGAGGACGCAGCGGACATCTCCTCTCCTCCGAGATCGCATTGTTCTTTGTGACGTGCCCCCCTTGAGATATCGACCTTCCCCAGGGGCCAGCATTTCATCCTTGGCCATCTTGTGACGGCCATCGGCGCCTGGAAACGGCTCCCAGAGGCAGGAAAGCGCAGACTAAAAACGTCGACAAGCAAGCTTTGCCCCTACGATTTTTGCTGAGAAGGTCGCGGCAACTGTTTCAAGGGAGCAAAAGCACACTGGTCCCCACAGCCGGCGCTTCCTGAGCAATCTGGGGCGTTCACTGTGCAGTCTTGCTTTGTTCGATGTTTTTCTCTAGCGCTACCCCTCCCCTTGTGCGTAGCATTTTGGCCTCGTTCGCTCTGTAGCTGTTGTCTCGCCGCCAGCCGCCGGCGGGCATGCGCAGCCTCGTCGTCGTCGTCGTCGTCCTCCTCCTCCTCCTCCTACCTGCCCAGCTGCAGCAGAGATGAGTCCCCTTCCCATGGGTAGCAGGGGTGCCTCTCTTGCTGGTGACTCCTCTTCCCTCTGTTGGACGGCGCTAGGACGAGGATAAATCCGTTCAAGAGCGTTCCGAAGCGCTCTCAGAGCGTTCTGGAACGCTCTGAGAAGGCCCTGGCGCCCGATACGTTCTCCAACACCGCGTCCCCCAAAACCGCTCGATCTCAGAGATTCTCGAGCTATCCTCACCCGATGTCGAGATTCTCGAGATTCTCGAGCTATCCTCTCTCGAGATTCTCGAGCTATTCTCGAGATTCTCGAGCTTCGTCTTGCTCCGCCCCGTGCCGGAGGTTCAAGCCGAAGCCCACGCGCGCCACCTACCGGATCGCCGCCGTCCGGAGCGCCATCGGCACCGGCGGAGCGGGCGGGGCAGGGGCCCTCGTGAAATGCCCGGGGGGCCCCCGCCGCCTGCTGGACAGAAGGGGGGGCGTCTGGGTTCCCCAAGAGGGGCCCGCAGAGGGGTGGAGTCGGCGGCGGGCGGAGGGGGGAAACTCAGGGGATCAAGCAGTGGCGAAGCGTCCCAGCTTGCCTATAGGCCCCCAAGACATGTTCTAATAAGCTTTTTTTGTGGTCTGCACGAGATGTTCTCAGAACAGTTCTGGCTGCGACTGTCTTGTTTTAAGACATCGAACTTTATGTTCTAAGCACATTTTGTTTGTTCTTAGAACATTCTTGGGTTCTAAGAAGATGTCGTGTTAGGCCTGTAGGAATGCCGGGACGGTCGGTCCCTGCCCAAGAGGAGGAAAAGGTCCGCATACCGCTACCTTTCGCCCGTTTCCGTATGTTTTGGGCCTCCTCGGTGGCCCTCGGAGGCACACGTCGCCACCGTTGGGTTCGCCTAGAGGTTCTGGTCAGAACGCACCCTGGCAGAGGTCCAGGGAGTAGCGGTATCGGTTCTATGTGGTCTCCCTAGGGAGGTGGGAAGGAGGAGGCTTTCTTAGAAGGTGGCGGGACTTCTCAGACGACGCCCTCGCGCCTTCTGAGAAAATTAGTGTGCGTTTGCGGGGGAGGCTCAGAACACTCCTCAGAAAGCCGGGGGACTTCTGAGCCTTCCGAGAAAGCCCGCCACTTCTCACTCCTCCCCCTCGCTTGCCGCCGATGATGGACTGGCGGGGTGATGGATCTCTTGGCGGGGCCCGTGAAGCTTCCCTGATGTCATGGCCCCTTCTGTTTCTTCTTCCTTTTCTTTTTAGTATGTTGATCATTATTCTTCTACGTATTATTCTTCTCGTTCTCGCTCGCCTTTCTGTTATTCGTGTGAAGGCATTACCCTCTGCCGCAGGCCCCGTCTTCTATCTGAATGGGAGGTGCCAGAGCTACAGTCAGCACGCATAGTAAGGATGCGCAACCTTCCCTACGGTACCCTTGCATCCTCCCCCCCGTCGCCGCGTCGGTGTCCGATCCCGCCCAAGTACACTCGCTGGGTCAGCTTTTTCTCCCCCCGCGTTAGGTCATCGAGACTTTGATCGAGGAGGAGGATCGAACGTGCCCGATACCCAGTCGCTTCGGCTTCTTCGCAATTGGCTTGACTCGGTTGCTTCGGTTCGGTCGGTCGTTGTGATCTCCGCTGCATCCGCGGCTTCTCTGTCGCCGTCGGCCCGGTCGGTGTCCGATGTGGGTGTCGCCGTCGACGTCTCTGACGACGGCAAAGACAAGATTTTGGGGACAACACTCGGAGGGGACGGGCTCGGTCATCGCTGGTAGGGGCCCGACGGCACGCCACGCCCAGGGACGTGCGGACTACCTATCGGGTGCACATCGCCGACCTATCGGTGATGCATCAAAGACTGAGGCTCGATGTTTTCCCCCCCTTCGCGAGGCGGTCCCGGCCCCCCCCCTGGCGTTTCCCCTCGGAGGAGGGCGCGGGCGATGAGGAGGGGTCATGATGTTCCAGCTCCCAGAGAGGATTTCGAGCTCCCAGAAAGTACCGGAACTTGAGGGTGTTCACGCGTCGGGCCCTGCCAGGCGATACTCGCTCGACACTCTTTCGATACACCTCTGGGTGCTAGGAATTTCTTCTGGGAGTCTGTAAGTACGATGGGAGCAACATAAGAGGGGGGAAATCGGGCGCGCCGACCGCGTTCACAGCAGGTGGGCTCCGACCCCCATCCGGCCTGTCAGGAGCACGGAGCAGATAGACAAGACGCTCAAGTTCAGGGGCTCGCAAAAGGGGTGGTAACCACACCGTGTGGTGGGCCGGTGGGGATTCGCCATGTCCTTGTTCAGAGGCAAAGTGGGGGGGGGGAGAGTCCCAGGGGGGGACAGTCTTCGACCCCCAATCGACCATTCATAGCCGATTGGAGCCAGGTGGCCCAACCGCCCAGCAGCGTGCGGATCCGCATCCATCGACGATGGATCTCCGATCCCGCGTCGATGTTCCCCCCCCCCCTGAGCCGGTTCCCCCCTCACGTTGACCCCTCTTCTCCCCACCCGCGGAGAGGATGGGCCGCGGGCATCTCGCGAGGGCGCGTCCTCCCCTTTTCGGGTACAGCCAGGACCCCCGTTGAGGGGAGCCGCTTAGCGATGGGGCCTCGAAGCCCAAGGTATGGACTGGAATCGCTAAACCCCAGGTCTTCTTATTCTTCTTATTCTTCTTATTCTTCTTCTTCTTATTCTTCTTCTTATTCTTCTTCTTCTTCTTCTTCTTATTCTTCTTATTCTTCTTATTCTTCTTATTCTTCTTATTCTTCTTCTTATTCTTCTTCTTATTCTTCTTCGAGCAGTTCCCGTTGGTGGAATGGGGCGGGGGGGGGGGGCGGTCCCCCGTGCGCGTCCCTAAGCCAGGTCACACGAAGCCCAGTCCTGCCAGCGCCCGACCTGTTCCCCGGCCCCTCCATCCTCACTCCAGTCTCTCCTTCCCCCTCCACAGGGGGCAGGGTCGTGCCCTTGCCCCGCCCTCCGCCCAGCGAGCGGGGCTTCTCGACAGTCAGGAGGGGAAACAACACACAGACACAAATAGCCGTCGATTCCCAGGAAGAGATGGGAACACATGGGAAGTGGTGGGGGAAGACGAACACCCAGGAAATATAGGAAATCATGAGGGATCCTGTTATCTGTGTCTATTTATCTGTGTGTCCCAGGGCCCCTTCAGACAGGCGTCCCTCCTCGACGGTCGGGACTTCTGGACGAGAGGGTCCTGCCATCCCGCCCTCCGTCCGGAGAGAGAGGAGGGGAGCACCAGTGGCGCGCGGCCGTGGAGAGCCCGTCAGTGGTGCGGTCCCCTCGCTCTTGTCTCGAGGCTTGGTGCCTCTCGACAGTGATTATGGGCATGTTTTCCAGCAGCACCATTCATCCACTGGAGGGGGAGGGGGTCCTCCTCCACCTCCTCCTCCTCCTCCTCCTCCTCCTCCTTCTTGTCCTCCTCCTCATCCTCGTCCTCCTCCTTCTCCCCTCCAACTTATGGTGGTGATGGTGGAAAACAGGCCCATCAAGTAAGGCGCTCGTGGCTTCCCCTCGGCGGCGTGTCACTGGTACTGCGACCAGGGTGTCGAGGAGTGCCTCTGATGGCGTTGGCAGTGGACGTCGACGGTCCAGCACCGTCGCCGTCGAGGCCGCCAGGCCGCAGCAACCGACCGAGACAAGACACGCTTGTGCCTTGCTCGTCGAAGCCGAGCATTTGCTTTGGGTGGAGGGCAAAGGGTGAAATCTGAGAATGTGTTTCGATGGGTTTTCGAGGGTCGAAGCTGCAAAAGGTGAATCGCAAGTCGGATCGGTTCTCGAGCTGCAAAAGCCCATCTGGAGTTCACCCCGAGCCCTCCACCCCAAGAAAATGCTCAGGTCTCAGCCCGATGTGCCTTTCTCGTTTCCTCGCTTTGTCGCATTGCTGTTTTGTCTCCCCCACCGTTCTCAGGAGGAACACAAGTAATCGTCGATTCCCTCGAACCTTTGGAACAATGTATGGGAGGTGGGGTGTGAAGACAAGAATCCAGGAAATATGGGAACACATGGGGGATCCTGTTATTTGTTTCTATTCATTTGTGTGTCCCAGGGCCCCTTCACGTCCCCTCCTCCTATAGGCCCCCAGGGGCTTCTCGGCGAACGCCCCCGTTGCCGCCCAGGTGGCGGCCCGTTGCTCGGCATCAGGCCCAGCAAGAACTCCGTCGTGTCGGACTCCTCCGTCACCATGGACAAGATCGGCGACAAGGCGGCTGGGTTCAGTCGGGCCTGTCCCTCTAAAGGAAGAAGATCCAAACATAGTCAAAAAGTAGCCCGGGGAGGATTTCTTTTTACGATTTCCCAATCTTTAATGAAATTGTTTAACTATTTTTTGTTTTTTTCTCCAAAATCCCCCCGTAGGGGGACAGGCCCGACCTAACGGCTGGGGTCCACGGTTGGGTCGGCGAGGGCAGCGCGAGCAGGCCGAGAACGAGGGCGACGAGGACGAGGACCGCAACAAGAGTGAATACGAGGGGGACGCGGAGGAGAGGGGGTGCGATGGGGACGAGCTGACACCGACGCGCACGATGGTGGACGTGCGGCTGGCCAGTGAAGCACTCGTAGGGCCAAGCTCCACACGTATCACAGGGTTCTTGAGAGTCGCTGATTGCCGGATACAGGCAACCCGCGTAGTAAGGATGGGCAACCTTCCCAAGGGTATCCTTGCATCCTTGCCTCGGTCCATCCTTGGCCACTTTCGCTGACCGCTCCCCGCTCGAAATGCTTCGAAGTGGCCTTACAAGGCCCTTGCATCTCTATCGTGCGTCCTTATGATACGGGTTGGCTGTACTCGTAGGGCAAGGCTCCACATGTGCTACCGGGTTCTTGAGACGCGCTGTTCTCTGGAGGAAAACCTAGCCACGAGTTCTGCCCAGCCCCTCGCTGTGGTGCCTAAGAGGTGCGGGGGGGCGCGGGGGGGGGTCGCGCCCCACCCGCGCCGCGACGCACCCCCGCGAGCGACCTCCCCGACAAGAACACGAGCCATCATTTTCAAAGACTGGTCGCTCTCCGTGGCCGGCGTGTCATCCAGCGTGTGTGCCGCAAGCCCACGATGCCCGCCACCCGCCCTGTTCGCCCTCGATCGCACCCCTCTTTTTGGGGGGGTACGTTGTCCTTGCCTGCCACGTGTAGTTCGCGCGGCCTCTCAAAGAGGAGGAGGAGCAGGAGGGCAAACAGAAGAGAGAGGGCGAGGAAAGGAGGAGGAAACGAGATAGGGGGCTCAATCACGTCACTTTCTTTGAAATGCGATTCATCGAGCGACTTAGAGAGGTGTACACGCCGGTCGCTGAAAGTAGGTATTTCTGGATTCCCAGATCCCAATCTACTTCAAACGCCTTCCTACTTCAAGAATCGACACGCTTTTGCTGTGTTATTCCCTGGGGGGGGGGGCTGGACCCAATCAACTTAATCCGCCTTCCTACTTCATGTTTTTACCTACTTCTTCCGACCGACGTGTAAGCGATTGCGCGGACATTTGTGCGTGAGTTGGCCGCGTCAGTAGGGGCGCGCATGAGCCCGCTCGTTTCCATTGCGGTGCGCCGCCTCAGCAGCCTGCGTTGGCCATCGCGTGGCGGCGTGAGGTCGCTGTGCCGCCGTCTGCAACTTCGTTTTTCCTTCGCTTACCGAGCGTTCGCTTACTCGCAAAGTGCCTACTCGCAATCGGTAAAAAACATGTTTTCCTCGAGTAGTTATTTTGCGAGTCGTGAAACGTGCGTGTCTATTCGCCACCCCCTGTTCACTCGTGTTCGGTTACGTTTTTTGCACCTGATGGCTCTGCGAGGGGATCCTGGCCCCTCATCGTCCATAGACTTCCCGCTTACCATTTCCCCCCGCACTCCGCCTCCGATCCTCTCGGACTGGCAGAGGCAACACGAGCACGGACTCGGAGATGCCAGAGCATCTCCTGGTTCGACACTGCGACGGCAGGTTCATGTGCGGCGTTGGCGTTCAATGTCGAAAACAAAAAACACGCGCGAAACCAAAACATGCACGGGAGATGGACGTCCGAGCGACGGCAAGCGCGCGCCTTCGACGCGTGCCAGGCAGGGCCGCCTGCGCCTCGGGTGCGAGGTGGCCCGATCCGGTTCTCGCCGGCCTGGGCCGCGTCTCTCCGGCCCGCTCTTGGGGCTTGCGGCCCAGCTCTCACCAGCATCGGCCAGAGGCCAGCTCGTCGGGGGCGGCAGAGCGGGGGGGGGAAATCATGTCACCACCCACCAAGCCACCCCAGCCCAACCCGAAGGCTTCGGTTTTCCCTCCATTTCCAGTTTGGGGGGGGGTCGGGGAACATCGAAAGAACTCATGGAAGCCGTACCCCCCCCCCAACCCGAAATTCGGGTCGAATTCGGGTTTTCGGGTTGGGTTGGGGGTGTTTGGTAGGTAATCATCATGGCGGGGGCCATGATATCTCCTCAGATTTCAAGGCGCCTCTCCTGATGTCAATACGTCCCTGGCTCCCCCCCCTGGGCCGCGCACATGCCGCCGGCAATGGTTTGCGCCGCCCCCTCTTGGACATCCCCCTCTTGGCCGCCCCCGAGCTCGAGCCAGGCGCGTTGAACGATTTCGATGCGGTTCGGGACGATCTGTCGGCGATCTGGTCCCATGCCCCTCGCGTCGTGAAAATGTCTCGGCGGGAGGTTTTCCGCTGTTGTCGGCCTCCAGGCGCCCTTGACAGGGCCTCGGGACCGTCAAAAGACGGCTCAGGATGAAAAACCGGTCCTGGGGAAGGTGTCCAGACCTCTGGGGGTCGACGTTGCGTGTTTGGGATCGCTTCCGACCTGATTCGACTTCGCGCTTCGATCCAGCTCGGCCTGCCAGGGGCGGCACAGGAGGCGGGACCTCGCCTGTCCCCCAAAGTGGTGTCTTCTCCTTGTGCCCGACGCGGGCTCGATGCGGACTCGACGCGGATTTGGCGTGGATTCGACACGGATTCGACGCGGATTCGACGCGGATTCGACGAGACCGGCAGGGATTCGACGCGGTTTTCGACGCGGATAGGGCCGCGGCGGGGCAGGCGTGGTCTCCCCGAGGCTGCAGCTCAGCTCGGCACGAGCGAAATGGGTACGGAAAGAATCAGGAGGAAAAAAAACACACAGACACAATTAATCGTCGATTTCCCAGAAAATATGGGAAAATATGGGAAGTGGTGGGGAAGACAAAAACCCAGAAAATATAGGAAAATATGGGGAATCTTTTTATTTGTGTGTATTTATTTGTGTGTCCCAGTTTCCCTTCAAAGAATGGGTACAATGCCCAACCCAGTCCCTGTTCATTTTGAGCAGGACTCGCTGTCGGTGTCGCCGCGGCCTGTGTCCATTTGAGACAAAAGGCCGCCTGCCCAGCAGCGGCCGCTGATGGTTTGGGACAGCATTTGTTGTTGGGCATGGTACCCATTCGTTCCGTACTCATTTCGGGCGTCCAAATCAGCTGTTGGGAGGGGGGCTGCAGCGCCGACCGCCCCAAAGCGCGCGCTGCCCCAGGTCATGGAGGTCCGAGGCAAGATGGACCGGTGGCGGCCCAAGGTTTAAGTCAGGCCGGTCCTTCTGCAGGGGGAAGATTCAAACATAGTCAAGAAATAGTCAGGGGACGATTGTTCTAGTATTTGTTTATTTAAAACCATTTAGATTTGTCGTCACAAATCCGCCTGCAGGGGGACACGCCCGACCTAACCCAAGGTCCGCGTCGCGGCGCGACATCCGAACCCGAGCCACACCTGAGGGTCGTTCTTGGAGGTCGCCTTGGCTCAGCATCGTTAAACCGATCCCCATCCCATCCCCATCCCCTTGGAGGCCCCCGCCACATTACCCCCCCCCAGTCGGGGACACCCCATCGAGACCCGGAGGGAACGGCCTACATCCCCATCTAGGGGGGTAGATCGGCCAGTGGAGCCCAGGCCACGCCGCTGGGGACAGGGATCGGATAAACGATGCTCATTGGCGAGGGCGGTGCGGGCAAAATGCGTATCCATATCCACTGCGTCTTGGAGGTTCGGGCGCCCTTCCCCAGAAGCCAGAGGCGCAGCGGATGCGGGTAGCAGTCCAGCCCCCAGAGGCCTTGTTTGAGACACGTCCACGGCGCCTCGGCCTTCTGGGCGTCCCTTTCCCAGAACGTTCCAGACGCAGTGGATCCGGAGAGAAGTCTTGCCCGCACGCCGCGGCCACAAAGCGGGACAGGGCCTGAGTCAAGGAGCGGCATGCCCTCTTGCAGCCTCCTCCCTCCGTTCCTGCGATGTGACTGACGTCCAGCATGGGCAGTCATGCTTCTCTGATCAGGGTGTCGATTTCCACACGATCGCAAGGGCCTGCCCCAAGGAGGCCCAAGGGTCAGGAGCCATTCAACAAAACATACGTGTACACTGATCATGTGGCTATCGAGTGCTTGTTTCGCGCGAGCGCTCGTGACACGAGGCTGGCGTCGCGGACTGGGGGGTCAACCATTCGTGGACATGGCCAGCCGCGCACATCGTCTGTGCGCTCTCCCCAAAAATGGTGCGAGAGCGAGGGACGGGCTCGGCATCGTCGCGATCTCCTTCTCCGACCACCGAGCTCCGCCGCCACGAACAGACACTTTTTTTGAACAAGCGCAAGAGGAGCCCCGTGGCAAGAGTCAGGAAAGGGGGGAAGAAGGGGGAGGGAATGGGAGAGGAGACAGCAGCAGCAGCAGCAGCGGCAGCAGCAAGCAGCCTAGGCGCGGCGCAGCCTAGGCCGCCACGCACAGGCACACGACATCGCAGGCTGTCCTTCGGGTCGGATCGAGGCTGGCCTTCGCGTCGGCCGGGCGAAGCATTCCCTGCGTGGACAGCACGGCACGCCCGGGTCTCGGGGTGCCGTCTCTCTCCTCAGGAGGGGTAAAACACACACAGACACAATTTCTCGTCGATCCCCAGGAAAAATTCGGGAAAATGTGGGAAGTGGGGAGAAGAAGACGAACATTCCCAAAATGTGGGAAGCTGTATGGGCTCCCGTTATCTGTGTGTATTTGTTTGTGTGTCCTGCAGGGCCCCCTCATCTCTCTCTCTCTCTCTCTCTGTCTCACCCGGTGGCCCCCTCGCCAGCGCGGCGCGGCGGCAGGTGATGAGCGTGACGGAGGACGCGTGCGGCTCGGACCCGGGCGACACGATCCGCCGGGCCCCGCACCGCCCTCCCAGGGGGCAGCGGGGGGCGGGGGGGGGATGTGGGCGCGGGGGGGGCGCATCGGCCCCCAACCGCACACTGATCGCCGAGAGGGGTCCGACAGCCCAGCCCGCCAAGGAAGGTGCGGCTTCGCCATCGGGGGCCCACAGCCAAAAACCCTGATGAGGACACGCGACTTTGCTCAGGGTACCCTTGCGTCCTTGCTTTTCCTTGCTCTTGCGGCTCGTCCTTGGCCTCTTTCGCTTGCCCGCTTGTCAGGTTACCCTTATGGGGTTTTCGTCGTCCGCCGCCCCAAAATCCCAACTTCGGCTTCCAAGGGTCTTGCGTCCCTCCCGCCCTTTCGCCGATCCTGCGGCGGTTGGTCGCCGATTCCAGGTCGATGTGCCCCCCCTGTGCCACTGCCCCCCTTACCGTTGCCCCTCAGCCCTCCCCGCTCCGTCGGGCTGCGTCGCCGCAAAGCAGCCTGGCAGTCGGTGCCGTCACGTTCCTTCCTCCTCTGGAGAGACATCGTCTCGACAAGCTTTTGGAGCTCCGTGCGGACTTCGTGGATCTGCGCTGGCCCCCTGGCGGCGCCTGCGGCGTCGCCCCTGGCGCGCTCCGCGCGCCAAGGAGGGGGCCCAGCGCCGATCCAAGCAAGCCGCGCGGCGCTCCGACAACGTATGCTCGTGCACTTGCTTCTCCAAGGGCTCCCTCGAGGGCGCGAAGTTATTCGCGCTTCGCGCTTCGCGGTCCTCGTTCCCTCTCCCCCTCCTCCTCGTCCTCCTATTCTCCCTTTGGGAGGGCGGCGCGAGAGCGCGAAGTTATTCGCGCTTCGCGCTTCGCGCAGCGCGAAGCGCGAAGCTGGGAGCCTCCTGCTATAGAGCACGCTTCCAGGGCCCAGGGCTGTCCAGAAACTACTCGGGATGAGGAGCCAGCCACGGGGGGGGGTCGAGACTCCTGGGGGGGCCACGTCACGAGATGTTGCGACGTCGGAGGCGAGGGTGGAAAGAGCGCGGGAAGTCGAGCAGGGCCAGGAGTGCGGAGCATGGTGCAACGTCTCCAGGGCGCTCTGGAAGGCTCTCAGGAACGTCCTGGAGCGCTTTTGCATTGCCGCGGAGCCCGATACGTTCTGCAGTCGACCGTTTCCCTTCGAGGTTCTGCCTGCGGATGGCGCCGTCCGACTCTCCGCGGGCACTGCCGGACGCGATTTCGAGCTCCACGGCGCCCTGCCAGGACCATCCCTCTGGGCTGCAGGGCCTCCCCTCTGAGAAGAGTGTGGTCCCCGCGCTCCTGGGGGGCAGGGCACCCCTCTCCTCAGAGGAGGAATGTGTATATATATATATATATGTGTGTATAAATATGTGTGTATGTATATATATATACATATATATATATATATATATCCGTAAGGGCTTCGCCCCATGCCGCCCGCCCCCTCTCTCGGAGAATGGGCCATGGAAGAGCGACGTCATGAGGCTTTGGCTTTCCGTGAAGCAGAGTCGGGGCCTGTTTGTTGTTCGACCCTGACCCTACGGATCTGCGTGAGGGGTGCCGCCGAATTTCAGAAATGTCGCAAATACGTTGTGTTTTTGGACCCTGACCCCGCCGATCTGCGTGAGGGGTGCCAGGAAATTTTAGAAATGTGGCGAATCCCTTGTGTTTTTGGACCCTGACCCCGCCGATCTGCGTGAGGGGTGCCAGGAAATGTTAGAAATGTGGCAAATCCCATGTGTTTTTTGGATCCTGACCCCGCCGATCTGCGTGAGGGGTGCCACCGAGTTTCAGAAATATGGCAAATCCCAAATGTTTTTGTACCCTGACCCCGCCGATCTGCGTGAGGGGTGCAAGGAAATTTCAGAAATGTGGCAAATCCCATTTGTTTTTGGACCCTGACCCCGCCGATCTGCGTGAGGGGTGCCACCGAATTTCAGAAATGTGGCAAATCCCATTTGTTTTTGGACCCTCACCCCGCCGATCTGCGTGAGGGGTGCCACCGAATTTCAGACATGTGGTAACTCCCTTCTTTTTTTCCCGGAAAGGGCTTGAGCTCAGGGTTCTCTTTTAGATGGTTTCCCCCCGGGTTTGACGGGAAGAGGGCCGGCGAATTTCTTTTGCGATAAATAACGAGTGGGAAGAGGGCCGGCGAATTAAAATTTGAGGATGTCCCTAGCGAAACGCTTGTTTTTCAGAATTTGTTGAGGATGTCTCGAGCGAGACGCTGGTTTTGCAGAGTTGGGGATGTCTCGAGCGAAACGCTTGGTTTCAGAATTTGTTGAGGATGTCTCGAGCGACACGCTGGTTTTGCAGAGCCGACCGCGACACGGAAAAGCGCCCCTCGCGCAGGAATTCTGAGGATGTCTCGCGCGTGCCGCGTCCCGCGCGCGGGTATTTGGATGTCTGGGGATTTTGACAGGATGTCTCGAGCGAAACGCTTGTTTTTCATAATTTGTTGAGGATGTTTCGAGCGAAACGCTGGTTTTGCAAAATTGGAGGATGTCTCGAGCGGTGGCCTTGTGGGGGGCCAGAATTCAAAGGATGTCTCAGGCGAAATGCTTGTTTTCACGTCCCGCTCGCAGGAATTCCGAGGATGTCTCGCGCGTGCAGCGTCCCGCGCGTAGGAATTCAGATGATTTTGACAGGATGTCTCGAGCGAAACGCTTGTCCCCAGCACGTTCCGTAGCGCGTCCCCTTGGCACGTCCCGCGGTGCGTCCCCATGGCACGTCCCTTGGCACGTCGCTTGGCGCGTCCCTTGAGACGTTCTGCGTCGCGTCCTCCTGGCATGTTCCCCTGTCCATTAGCTCTGGGGCAGCTACTATGTGTTCAGGCAGCTCGAGCTTAAGATCCAGATCAGTTCGGTCAGGACTCGGATGCAAAGGAGGACTCGATCCACGAGGCTATAGAGCACAGTCGCGCCATGGCACATCGCAATTCAGCACGGCGCAGCACAGCACAGCCCTCGGCACGGTACATCAAGGTCGATACACTCAGCATTGCAACTTGGCACGTTCCTTGGCACGTTCCGTGGGGCGTCCTTTGGCGAGTCCCCCTGGCACGTCGCGTGGCGCGTCCCCTGGCACATCCCGTGGCACATCCATTGGCACGTTCCGTAGCGCGTCCCCTTGGCACGTCCCGCGGTGCGACCCCATGGCACGTCCCCTGGCACGTCGCCTGGCGCATCCCTTGGGACGTTTCGCGGCGCGTCCTCCTGGCATGTTCCCCTGTCCATTAGCTCTGGGGCAGCTACTATGTGTTCAGGCAGCTCGAGCTTAAGATCCAGATCAGTTCGGTCAGGACTCGGATGCAAAGGAGGACTCGATCCACGAGGCTATAGAGCACAATCGCGCCATGGCACATCGCAATTCAGCACGGCGCAGCACAGCACTGATTTCGGCACGGTACATCAAGGTCGATACACTCAGCATTGCAACTTGGCACGTTCCTTGGCACGTTCCGTGGGGCGTCCTTTGGCGAGTCCCCCTGGCACGTCGCGTGGCGCGTCCCCTGGCACATCCCGTGGCACATCCATTGGCACGTTCCGTAGCGCGTCCCCTTGGCACGTCCCGCGGTGCGACCCCATGGCACGTCCCCTGGCACGTCGCCTGGCGCATCCCTTGGGACGTTTCGCGGCGCGTCCTCCTGGCATGTTCCCTGTCCATTAGCTCTGGGGCAGCTACTATGTGTTCAGGCAGCTCGAGCTTAAGATCCAGATCAGTTCGGTCAGGACTCGGATGCAAAGGAGGACTCGATCCACGAGGCTATAGAGCACAGTCGCGCCATGGCACATCGCAATTCAGCACGGCGCAGCACAGCACAGCCCTCGGCAGGGTACATCAAGATCGATACCTTCAGTATTGCATTTGCCCGTCACCCAATCAGGTGTCTTTGAAAACGCTGCCATGTGTTACAGTTCTACATTCCTTTCCGGGTTCGTGGGTCGATCATGTTGTTGACCCTGACCCTATGAATCTGCATGAGGGGTGCCACCGAATTTCACAAATGTGGCAAATCCCATATATCTTTTGACCCTGACCCCGCTGATCTGCGTGAGGGGTGCCAGTAAATTTTAGAAATGTGGCAAATCCCATGTGTTTTTTGGATCCTGACCCCGCCGATCTGCATGAGAGGTGCCACCGAATTTCAGAAATATGGCAAATCCCAAATGTTTTTGGACCCTGACCCCGCCGATCTGCGTGAGGGGTGCCACCGAATTTCAGAAATGTGGCAAATCCCATTTGTTTTTGGACCCTGACCCCGCCGATCTGCGTGAGGGGTGCCACCGAGTTTCAGAAATGTGGCAACTCCCTTCTGTGTTTGAACCCTTACCCCGCCGATCTGCGTGAGGGGTGTCAATTTTTACCTCCCCCCAGAAATTCTTCAACAAGGAACAGCAAGCAGCAAGAAGTCAACAAGGAACAGTAAGCAGCAAGAAGCAGAACTGTAACAGTGGAAACTGGAAACTGCAATTAATACAGAAAACTGCAAATTCTCGGCTTACAGCCTGGTGGCCCCACAAGGGGGCCGGCGGATATTTCGGGTGTGGACAGACCTCCTACCCTGACACGTCGATTAGTGAATTTGCCGTTTTCGGTTCGCGAGAGGGCGTCGCGGCCGTCATTTTTGCGGATCCAGGTCCGTCGGTTTCTGTCCCAGTCCGTTTTCATTAAGGGGAGGTTTACTAAAGGGAGGTCTGTCCACCGCCGAATATACATGATTCTATGTGTATACGTGTATATATACACATATATATACACACCGATACCGCTGCTCGTCCTGGGGGTCCCTCTTCGCCACGGCAACTCCACTTCGATCTTGAAAGCGGCAAGTTATCTTGTTCACCGAAACGGTAAAACCAATTGTTCACTGAAACGGCTTGGGCAGTCCAGGAGTCCCACGGCCGTCCGGGACAGGTTCGAAAACGGCTCTGATTTGGTGAGTCGCAAAACATATCGCTTGGACCAGGCTCCACCGTGGGAAACGAAACGTCATAAAACTTGTTGCCCGAACTGGTAAATCC